GGAAAAGTTTCTGTGGGATGTAATTTTTAATGAGAACACATTGTTATACTCCGAGTATGTGGCATTCTTGCTTAAAAGAAACATTTACAAGAACACATACACATTTATATCCAATCACCAAACGAAGTAGATATTTTAAATGACCAGTTTGCACCAGAAATAAAATATATTATACAAAACAGGAGTTATATCCACAGTTATTAATTCTCATTTTCTACACAAAAACAATAAATTAAATCACATTATATGCAGATAGTTCTACTTACATTAGAATAATAAACTGTGTGTAGCTTATGCAGCTCTTATTTTTACTTTTATACCAGACTCATGGTAGGTTTGTATTGTTTGATAGTCCTATATTTAAATTAACAATGAATAATATGACCTAGAAGACGAGGGCCACAGAATTGATCCTCCACAGTGTCTATCCCACGTCCTCTTGATGTCAATTATCCACCATGCGTAGGCAACAGAGCTCAGGTTCCTAGGACCCAACACAAAGGTGTGCAAATCCACAGTGTCTCCAGCCTATTGAGGGGCACTTCATTGCTGTCTTGTAAGTGAAAGATTAAAATTAAAGGTTTTTAGATCTTGGCATTGAATAATAAATAAGACACCCTGTTTCAAAATCTGAATTTCTCTGTTAGCCTTCTCTGCCCAATTATTATGTACTATAACAGCTTTGTTCCCTAGCAAATAAAAAATAATTTGATAGCCTGTGTTGTGCTTCACACTTGGTAAGTGGGTCCTTTATTCCTTGTGCATAGAAATATAGGTCTTTAAACATACAAATCAAAGCAATGCAGCATTGTTGCTAAGTCTTGATTTCAGTTGTTTAAATCTTTCCCCTAGGAGTCATCTCTCACCTGACACATCAAAGAACTATATAACATATGGATTTTTACTTGTGAGACTCAGCTCCCATTGAAACCCTTTCATTGTGTTTGAAGTAGCTTAAAACATGGACATTAACAGCATCAGCTTATTTAGAATACTTTGCCTTTGGTATGAATTAACATTAGTGGTTAATGAGATATTTGAACAAACTCCAATCCAGCACCTTTTGAAAGTTATTTTAATCCTGCAGTCTAGCTGTGGGGTACATCTCCAAGAGACATCTGTGAAATCTGCATTCTGAACACCAAAGCCAGGTTTGTTGGAGTATTTGCACATCACAGGCTTGACCTGCCCCAAGAGCATATATGGTCAAGTTAGAGTAAAGATTCGGATTAAAATCCAGCTCTATTCTTACAACCATCACTATTTTGTCTTTCTTCCCTCTGAGGCCAACTCACAGGTTTCTACCTGCATGGGCAAGATACTGATGCATCTCTGTGCATCTTTGCAGCCATGCTGGATGTGCATGGTGGGGGTCAGGAGGAGGAAGGGGCAGTAAAGACTGTGGCAGCCTGCAAAGCAGCCCCCTTCTGTTTCTTTTGGAGGACCAAGCTTCTAATTCTTCTTGCTGGGCATGTCCTAAGCTTCTTGTTCAGTCTGGCTGTTGAAGAGGGACTAAATTCTGGTTATTCTTCAGCTCTAAAGACCAACTGAAAAACAAGACAGTCCCTCGAACACCACCATCTCATTCTCTCTGCTTCCACACTGCCCCTAGAACATATCCCATGTTTTTACACAGTTTCAGTTTTCTCCACTGAACAAGAAATTCAGCTCATCACCACCTTCCCCATGAAGCCCTCAACCACGGGGCGTAACTAAACAGAACCCATGAAACATGTAGCTGGAGGGGCTTCATTTTGCTTGCCATTTGCCTTTATGTCTGCATCCACTCAGGATCTAAGCTGTGTCCCAAGAAACATAGGAATTCCACAAATAGCCAGTGTATACTCACATGCAAGAGGGTAATGATGCCACTGGAACCTACTTCCTGAATCCCTGTCACTGTCCATATGAGGTCTATACGATGGCCTTAATGTTGCTGTTGACTGCATATCTTATGCCCCCCAAAATCAGCCACAACCAGAAGGAAAATGTTAAGTTTGGGGCAAAGAAGGCACATGTGCCTTGAGTAAATTAATGATTCTAGAAGCCTGTGAATAGGGAGAAGTGACTGCATTCCAAAGCAGCAGTCTTTGAATTTAAGGGAGAAGAAAAAAGGAGTTGTGTTCTTTCTGTACGTTTCTCCTCTCCCCACATTAATCATAGTTTCTGAAATGTAAAGAACTGTCTTAAGGCCTGTGGAACCATGTCTGTGGGTTGTGAACAGACAAGTTGATGGTTCTTCAGAGAAATGTGATGCTTACAGGGGCTTTCTTGTAGGACCTGTGGTCAGTCTGGGGGGAGGTATGGACTCCATACAGAAAGTTCTTTCCAGATAGACATCATGTGGGGAACGGTTTCATTTTTGAGTTCCTCCTCCCCCAGCATGCACTCCCACCAAAAAAAATCTAAGAAGACAATGATGACCATAAAACTTACACTTATTTCCAACACCAAAAAGTACATACTCATTTTGACCTGCATCAATGTCAGCTAGCGTTTGACCAGATGAGAAAATACTGATAAAGTATCCCTTTTGAAATCTGAACACTCTGGGTTTCAGGGTAAAAACTTATATAATGATTTAAGAATTAAAGCCCTATTTATTTTACTATATGTTCTGTGGCTACTGGCAGGGTATGCATGAGTAATTGTCAAATATATTGCTTAGCAGGAAGGAACTTAAATCCCAAAATATAATCTTCAGAGGTCTTAACCCAAGGTAAGCCTGGGCCAAACACCTACATTTTTAGCCAAGCGTTCCCACCTTTTTGGAGTTCTCAAAACTTAACAGAGTTTTGGTAACTCATATGAAGATTTCAAGGAAGAAAGAATAGACAAAAGACATGTAAATAAGCAGTCAATCTTAAGAACACTGGAGTTGATTTAAAATTGGCATGGCATCCACATACCAGAAACCTCATGATTTGTTCTACCATTTTTAAAAGACTAAATTCTCACTTATCTTTAAGATCATATCTAAGGATATAATATCAAGTTTATAACTATTCCTCTACCTTAAGTAGAACTAGAAGATATTTGCTCTACAAATGTTAGCATTAATGAGCTGCTATGTAAATTCTAGAAAGGTTAGAAATGTTTATACTCAAAGACTGCAACCAGGTAGAGTGTTTTCCCCCTGTAATAAGCACATAGACTTGAAATGTAAATGTTTTTTACAAGCACAAGATAATCGAAAATGAATATCTCTAAAATACATAGAAAACATCATTAAAAAATAAAAATGAGAGAGAAATAAGTTCTTCAATTCAAGTAACTAAGATGGACACAATCCTTCCAATCTGTTTTCCTTTTGAGAGGCCCAAACCATCCAATGTTTTGCTTTCCTAGATTTCACTTCTCACACTCTCTTCCTACATTAGAATTTCTGGAGTTTTCCTTTCTTGCCTTCTTTGTTCCATCGTTTTTGGATTCAGCACTTTTCCTTTGCGTCCAGCATGGAGAAATACAACACAGTTGTTTCAGTTGATCACACTTAATTCTTTTATCATGCCCTCCCAGCTGCCTGCATCCCATTTTTCAAACAGTTGAGGGGAAATGAGCCTCGCACAGAAATAATCTGTTCACTTTGACTCAAGTGGGAGCAACAGAGGCAGACTCCTCCAGGGGAGCAAGCACGGGCCAGTGTCCAGGACATGTAGCTTGCACTCACCTGGTCTTCCTGTTACCTATGTGAACTATGACCTCCATCAATACCAAGAATTGCACAAACCCCCGTGTTTCCCTCCCTATACGTGGCCTTTTATAGATATTAGTGTAATTTTATTAGTAAAATGGTTTTTCAAATGCTCAAAGCATTATTGAATAAATACGCTAGTAACGTCATTCCAAGATAGTACACTAATCTTCCCATTCCTCTGTCACTATCTTCTGTACAAATTTTAAGTGAAATTGGCAACCTGAGTTGAAACCTATGTGGGGAGTACTGGGTGCAAAGTACATATCCAGTAAATACTTATTCAATTTCCTTATATTCGAATTCCTTGCATCCACACCCACCCTACTGTTATGTGGTTGTTGGTGGGTGACTATAAAGCTCTGTGGAGTTGACAGAAAAGGAATAGAGTACATATTTAGATTCCCTCTTTTAACCAAAATCATCACTATGAATTTTGGTAACTGTCATGTATACAATTTTTTAACTTATCATGTCTGTGCTTAATATCAAGTTCTAACTCTCAATAAAGTAGTACTTGAAGAAAAAGGGCTGTCTCCCTTTATAAAACTCTGTTTAGTTCTCATAACTTTTCACTCTTGATCTTGAAATTCATCATTTGGCCAGAATTGGAAAGGGTGTTGCCCTAAAAGTACTTGCATTTAAAGCAGTTAAAATTCCAAACAGTTAAAAACTCATGTATTCCTGAAGAGTTTGTAACCTGAATACATTTCCAGACCTCTGTAATTAAAGCAGCAATTAGTGTTTGGCTATGGCCGGGGGAAGAGGGAAACAGAAAAAGAGAAGTATATTTCATCATGATTGGTTTGTTGTACACTTTACCCATGCTTTTAAAATATAAGTGAAATTTAATCTTCCAAATGAAAAAATAGACACATTTCCTAATACCAAAATATAAGACTAAGATACTTAAAAATAAAATGTTAGTGTGAAATAGAGCTTTTTTATACATCAAAAAGGAAACGTTTTAGACTTGCTTTTCTTGTGTACATCATATCTCACTAATATTTACAACTTTCCAGAGTAGCTTTTATGAGACAACTGAAAGACACAAGGAGGAAATTCTCTTTCAAGATATGAAATTAGAACCTGAATGTAGACACTGAACAGAGCAACCCTCAACCACAAATCTGTCCCCCAGCCCTAGAGAGAGCAGTGCTGTCCTTCCAACCTTGAGATTTTTCATTACGTTTTCCTCTTATTGGGTGTTAAATTCTTTCCAAGAATATTCTACTTGTGAAAATGATTTTATTCTAGCTACAAAACATTTCATTGAAGAAAACCACATTTTATACCTTGTGTGAAATGCCCCCAAAAGCCATCAAGATATGGAGACATCAGATTTTAAAAACATAAATCTAATGATACGCCCTTTAAACAGTATGAACATTTGACAGAGTGACATTATATCCTTATATTTGTTTGTCATGAGATGAAAGGCTGGGAGGCAGATGCTGATTAATAGTATTCCTGAGCTTCTAAAGAAATTTTAAAACGAAATGACTAATTGCTTAAAAGAATGAATTCTTCAAGAACGCCCCTTCTGTTTTCATCGATGTCTTTCATCCCATCTATCTCCTTAAAGAATCTCAGGCAGAAAAAAAAAAAGGGCTTCCTTTAAGCCACCGAAAAATGAGATCTGATGGAATCTTCCCGTAACTCCCGATGTTTTCCAACGTTACTTTCTTCTTGTTGGTGTCGCCTCTCAATGGTTATTCTGTATTTCTTCCTGGGTAAAGGGAAAGTGAATGTAGTGATAAAACTTGGCTGGAAAACACTATGGTTCCTCTTACAAAGAATGCCCTCAAGGGACATCTGGGTTTAGGTTGATAAATGAGAAGTGACAGAATATGAAACCCTGGTCAGAGATTAAAGAAGTGTGCCCTCAGGCATTATGCCCCTATTCAAGGAAGAAAATTGGCATGCTTTCCAAAATGCCATAGAACAAGCCTTCCCCTTCTTCCCTGGAAGCCTTGGGGGTTCCATCTTGTCTATTCTGACACAAAAGTTCTCCCTGGCTCCCAGGATATGCCCTAGATATAGATCAAATTAAGTGTACTGTGACCGAGGGAACAGGAATACAATTGTTCCCACAAAGGGTCACATACCCCCAGAGTTACATTCTGTACAGAAATAAAGAAATCATGCTCTGATGACTTATGAATAAGCCACAAATTCAACCACCAAAGATTACAAAGGAATGGGCCGTCCTGGTGGGGTGGAACAATCACTCAGCACCTTGAACACACATACATTATTACAATTTTACAAGCCTTGGGGCTTAACCACGGTGGTAACTAAGCATACTGGTTCTCCAAATACTGAGCACAAATCAGCCTGAGAACATGGGCTACTCAGAGTTCCCTCCTGCTCTTTAAGAAGGTGAACCCAGGCACCTATTTTGCAATTGGAAGAAGCCTAAGAACAGGGAAGTTGAGCTTCTCCTTTGTCCTCTCTCCACATATGCATTTGGTGAGTGATAGAAATTTTTGTAAGAATGTCTGTAATCAAAGGACATCAGTGGCTCTCTATTCCACAGGAGTATGCAAAAGAAACCTTCGACCCCAATACCCAGTATGCTAACTCACTGACCACCAAACGCAGGCTCACACCAAAAGAATGGCTTGGGTCTTTTAACCACCATGCTCCTTGGGCAAAAGAAAGATGTGGACAGGTCATAAAGAGGAGCATGAAAAAACAAGTGACAAAGGCAGTGAAGGAGGCTGAATTTAACTTTATAAACATCCTCACCTGAAAAAGTAGAAGGCCATCAGCAAACCAGCTCCTAGCAAGGCCCCCACGACAATTCCCGTCACCGCTGATTCTTCTAGGCCACCTGCTTGAAAAAGAAGCATAGATAATCAGGGTTCATTCTGAGAAACAGTTAGAAATGCCTCAAGTTTCATTCATTGGAAGATTCATTGGAAGACTTCCCACTTGAGGCAAATTTTCTTTTCTTTTTAAAAAATATTTTTTAGGGAACCCTGCACTTTGTTTTTGTTGTTGTTTTTTTTTTTTTTTCCTACTGCATCAAAATTTAAGAAGCATTTGAGAAAGTGGTAGATAACCTCAGTTTCTGGTTACTGCTAAGAGAGTGAGCACCACAGGAATAAAAGCTGATTGAAGAAGAATTTGAGGAAAACTGGAAACTGAAGATTTCAGATATATCCACATCTTTGTGAGTCTATAGTCAGAGGAGACAACCAGATGGACCAGGACACTGACCCAGAACTTCTTATTTTCACAGAGGGACGGTGACACTTCAAAGTGCTAGAAGATTTGGTGAAAAATTCATTGGGTCAATGTTCTGTTTTTAGGTGTTCTCTCACCAAAGCCAAAGTTTCGTGTCAAAATGTCCTAGATAGCTTTGTGAAAATGTGAATAACAATTTGAAACAATCCAGTTCAGTAGTGTCCCAATTATATAAAAATGACAAATAGGTAGCTTGTATATAAAGAGTTTAGAATAATACGGCCTTCGGTGCATTAGCTCATGTAATCCTCAAAACGGCCCTAAGCATTGGGTATATTTCTTTAATTTTACAAGGGTGGGATTTCAAATCCACAACTCCAGAGACTGGGTTCTTAACACACTTCCTCCTAATTCCTTCCCGTAATGATTGCATAGACAGAAACAACTCACGGTTTGGAAGATAGTCCCCAAAGCATATATATATTAGCCTAAAATGACCAACTGGCCTGAGGGATCGATATTCACTTCTCCTCAGTAGCTTATAAAAGGGTCTCTCTAAAGCTATGATTTCTAACAGTTTTCCTATTTGCGCACTACTTATAAGAACATCCATTTCCTTCTCTGTGTATGAGGCTGTTCATAAAAACAAATTTACACTTATTTGCTGATTTGTAAATTTTCGGGTGTTTAAGGGGTGTTATCTGTTTGGTTCTGAGGAGCCGGAGGATAACTGCAAACTTTGGAAATCAGAATGAGACTTGCTATGAGGGATGACTATACGAGTGACATTTTGTAATTGATATTTCAATTTTTCCTAAAAGTGGAAACCTCGAACAACTAAGAGATTATAGTAAGAGATGTAAAAATAGGGACAAACCTTCTACCATTGGGGAGAGAAGAGTGGAAGGGAAGAATAACCTAGAAGCCTCTGATAAAGGCAGGATGCCAGTTTGTGAATTGTTCCATGCGTTTTACCACATCAGAAAAAGAAATGTGAACTCTGAGAACATGAACTCCTGGAGAACACGTGTGCTTTAAACTTGCATTACACCAAGACCAGAGATGATGACATAAGAAACAAATTAAGTCTCTAGACTTACATGATTTGCAAGGAGAGCTGTTGGTGTGCTCCACAATTCTGGTTTCATCTATTCTCAGTTTTAAAGGGCCCCAAGGATATTTGACATTCGGCCGCATTTCAAAACGACCTTCTTTTCCAAAGTAATCACCAATAACCTGTATAAAAGCAAAAAAATCCAAATATATAAACTGAAAAGCCAAAGAAGACACAAAGCTCACAGCCTTGCACAGCTACTCCCAAAAATGCACAGCCTCATCTGAAACGGGCTGCCTCTGGGCACGTCATCAAATCCCCTCCTCCAGGGCGGGAAGAGCACGTGGCCTGGGGCTGGCTCCCCGGCTGTGCGCACTGACTGCAGTGGGGTGTGCTCAGGACTTCGTAAGGATTTGAAGTTGCTTTTGGTGCTCTCCCTGTAGCTCCCGGCGGCAGGGCGAGTGGTCATGCAGGACCAGAAGGATGTGAGAAGGGTGCGCCAGGGCCTCCCCCACTGAAGGCCCAGTCCTGCCAGCGTTGCCCCTGGGCAGTCTTTAGTCACTACTACCTAGTGGAAAGGGAGGATTTTTCCCTATGAAAACAACAATCTCAGAATTCAAGGCTTTTCCCTTGCTCATCATACAAGGCGCTGCCCCACCCACCTGCCCTGGGGCAGCCCACCCGCTCAGCCATTTGTAAGGCCCAAGTTACTTTCAGAGACCTGTGAGAGACAGCCAGGGTCCACTGTGTACCCAGGTAGAGCACATCACAGGTACCTGGCCTCACACCCCTCAATTAGCTCGGCATATGATTAAAGAATGAAAGAGCATCTTTTAGGAACTTTCTGTTTCACCCTCTTTCAATTGTTGTTCCTTTGAGGGTCACACTCTCCTCTCTGATTAATTCACCCTATTTGCACCCCCATTCCAGGCTGAACTCTCTATTTCAACTGGCTCCTCGGGCTCCTGGAAAATCGTTATTCCTTTCTGGTTCAGTTCCAGGGTCACCCCTCAGTTTCTGGTGACATCGACTGTTTGATCAGCTCCCCCACACCTGATCTAGAAGCTCCTTCCCACCCAAGTTCTCGGGATTTTTTCTTTCTTTCGTCTGGGCACAAGCACAGGATTTCTGAGTGGCTCATGACATCTCCTCCCCTCTCTCCTGACCGAGGCCCAGCAGGCTCTCACAGACTATTTCAGGTCACAGTAGAAGAATTCTAGATCACCACCAAAATATAGCAATGGCTGGCGTGTACTGAGCACTTAACAAGTGCTTAACACACCGTGGCACACTCCTGCAACCTCACAAACTGTTACTACCCACCTTTCCCACAGCGGCAGCCTGGAATTACAGATGAGACCCAGACCACTCAAGGAGCAAAAAATCATTCAGTAAACATGGCAAGGGTGACTCCTGCTGCCTTGCCCACACACACAAGGGCGAGGTATCTGGGTACAAAGAGGAAAACACATGCCAGGCCCCATAAAGGGCTGCCGGAGCAATGACCCTGGGTGAGGGTGATCAAGGAAACACAGAGCAAGTGGAATTCTTTGCTGAAACATTGTATATTTGTATAATTTTTACATATATTTATAATTTAAAATTTATATAGTACTTTTCTAGGTTTCATTTTATCTAGTCCTCATTAATTGTCATGTGAGACTGGCAAGGAAGATATTATGATTTCCATGTTACAATGTTACAGCTGAGGAAACCGAGGCAGAGAGCTCACACTCCCGGTAAGCATAGGAGACTCATCTTTCCATCCACAGCACTCTTTTCTCTTCACGATGTCATCCTGAAACTACATCATCTTTTGAAATATTAACATGTGCTGCTGAGTTTGTAACCACCCACAAAAGAAAAAAAGCTCAAATATGAGGGGCGGAAATACAGTTTCACTTTACCTCTTTTATCTGATGACTCTCTTGCATAGGACTATGATATGATTCTTGGCCACTTGAAAGGTAGGATTTTTCTACTTGGAAAAAATATGGAACAATTTCCTGAAGTCTTCCCTAATACCCCTAATCAAACATGAGCTCTCCCCACCTGGAGACACCCAGGTTTTCAACTCATTCTTACTTGGAGGATTTGAAGGCTGCTTTGGGGACAGCTCTTTGGCCATCAGGACAAATACATTCCTCAGAGTCCCACCTAGAAAAAGGAGCAACTGGTGCAGAAGTCTCGTGTGCTCACCTCCTGGGTGCCCGCTTCGGTGTCCGTCATGGCGATCACAGAGAAATCCCCGTAGCGATCTCCGTTGGCATCTATGGACACCTGTCCAGCAATACCTACAGGACGAGAGGTGAAGAACTCAAAGTTGGTTACTTAAAGCACCTCTGTCTGCCAACAAAAACAAGAAAATGAATTGATAGAATTTTTAAACAAACTCATGCCACAGGGAATCTCATCAGACTCTGAGCATTTTTGTTGGCATCTGGAAAGACATTGTAATTTCATCTGTGTCTGCATTCCTAAATTCTTAACATTTCTCCATTTAAAAATGAAAAGAAAAAGAAATAAATGATCTTCTTTGGGGAATATGTTTGAAAAAAGATTAAGGCTAATCCTGAAAGCAGCATGCTTATCCCAGCCAGAGTTTTGTATTAATGTTTTTTTAAGTTGCGGAGTGAGAAGCGGAGGTGCGGTACACTCATAGACTTGCCATGGGTTCGCATTATCATTGGATAAACACTATAAAAGAAAAATAATTCCATGTGCTTTACCGCAGGCTGCTTTAATACACAGGAGAGCAGAGGGCCTGCCTCATGGGTCACCGGAGCCAATAGCTGGAGAAGAGCTATTCTTCTGTAACTTGGCTGGGGTCTTCATTCATTATTTATCCACATGTTCTCTGGATGGTTACAAGGAGCTGAATTCGTGCGGCAGCCGAGGCAAAGATGAATCGGACACCTTGTCTGCTCAAGAGAGGGGCAGCCTAGACTGGGGATTGGGCTTGTTCACAGCGGGATCCAACTGCTTGCATTTAAACCCCACTTTTTACATCGACATAGCTCCATGATCTGTACATAGCCCTCTGAGCCTCAGTCTCCACGACTCTAAAATGGGCATAATAGCACCTCCCTAGCAAGAGGCAGTGGAGAAGATTAAATGAGATAAAACAAGTAATGCACTTTCAACACATGTTAGGAGAAGTTAGTTGTTTTTGTCCATTGTTAATACTACTATCACTATTACTATTTATTTTATAATTATTCTTATTACTACTGTGCTTGAAATCTGAGAGGGAGCACCTGACCGTGCCACAGCACTCAGAGGAGGAGCTAGGACATCAAGTTGTAGAATCAGGGAGGACTCCGTGAAAGAGCGCTTTATAGGGCTGTTGGAGGAAGTCTATGAGTTAGACAAGAAGCAATCAGAAGTGGGAGTACTCTAGGCAGAAAGGCTGGCCTGGTTGTATTTACCAAGGCATGGAAGCCCAAAGGAACCAGAGGAGCTGTGAGGTTTCTGGGGGGGTGGCCCGTGTGTATGAGGGGAGGGGGCAGTGACATGAAAGGCCAGAATGGAGTGGCCAGAGAGTAGAGGGCCTTGGCTGGCCACTTGCTTTGGCCAGCAATGGTAGCTCAGAGCAGCTAATCAATAAAAGCAAATATACATCATTGGCTGATACTAAATATGTCTATATCATAATTTTCATTCACTAAATAAGAGAATGCATCCATCAGCCACATTCTAATTAACTAAAGCTATTTCTTTCCTTTTAAACCGGGAGAGTTCAATGTAATTCTTAATTGGTGTTTCTATCGATTTGGTTCTCTCTGGAAGTACTGACTCCTCTAGTAAAATGAATGTCTGGGAAAAAGGATCCCGAGGGAAAGTTCCATCCTCTAGTGTGGTTTGGAGAGAGCAGGTATTTGGGTTTACTGTCCTTTGGGTTGTGGTTTGAAGGCCCACTGATTTTCCAGACTTCGGTCTACTTTGCCGGAAACAGAGTGGAGCTACCATTTATTTTGATTTTTTTGTCTTCTCAATTTAGACTGGTTACAAAGGATACACCTATCTTTAACTTGTGTATCCTTGACAGCCTATAAAACTTTTTAAGTGATAGATATGATTTTTCAAAAATATATATTTATCCGAATATACTGGCTGTGCAAAGCCATTTGTCATTCCATTGAGAGGTGTTTGTGATGGTGTGTCCTGCTAAGTGTTTCGCAGAGTATTTTATAAGATGAGGCAGCCCCAGTAACTCAAGACCTCATTACACCTTTAAGCTATTACTATTCTACCAAGAAATGGGGTGAGAATCCTCGGGGTGGCCGATTAGCAAAGTGAGATTTCACCCAAGAGTATCGTACATAAGGTGAGATTGTCAGGCTTACAGCAGAATTTTCCTGTACATAAGTAATGAGATTTTCCACCCTCATTCCTATTTGCCTGTAGTGGAGCTCAAGATTTAAGCCACAGTTCTGTTTACCTTGTCACTCTGACCTCTCACACAGAGGAAATTCAGCTTCTTCCCAGGCCATTTATTGAAAGCCTTGAGAGTTGATCACAGGTTTCAAGGCAATAAAATCCAAATTTGTCAAATCACATCCAAGGTATTTTTCCCTTGACAATTTAATGGTCACTTACAGTGACCACTCAAATTAAAATTGTTTTTAATTTTAGGAAGGTTAGAGTTTTCCTTCATACAGATACCTTAGAGTTCTCTGGGGGCCTACCCTCAAATGGACGATTGTTTAGCAAATAAATTGGGCTCTCCAAACAACTCAAGCCCAAAACTTACCTTAGCTTCAATTATCTTTACATTTGGTCAAAAGAGATTTTAATTTTGGACTGAAATATACAATTGATTGTTTTAGGGCTCACTTCATATTGCCTGTGTAGACCTGGCCCTGGAATGGAAATAGCAAGAGAGCCTATGGGGAAATAGAGCCCATGCCCTGGCTCTGCACAAAGCTACACTCTGCCATCGTGGGCACCTGCCCTTCCCTTAATAACCTCCTTCGGTGGTGCCCTCCAGCACCCCCCGACTCTGGCTTCTATCCTTCTGTCAGAAAACCAAGAACAAATGACCACACCACGTAGTGAGTAATAGCTAAGAATGGGCTGTGGCCGACCAAGGTTGTGTCCACACACGCCAGTTTCTCAGTGTATTGTGCAAAACTTCTGGGAAAGTTGACTCTGTCCTAATTTAACCCCCTGAATTATCCCGTTTGGTTCCAGCTCCTTAGCTGAAGCTGTCAGGGGTAAAGCAAGATAATCCCAGAGGCCTCCGTGCCCATGTCCTGCAATCTGTTTGAAGTTAAAGATGTCACCCTGCTTTTGAGTAAGACATGGCATCCATGGAAACCACCAGGGAGAAATGCAATCCACCAGTTGCCACCACAGCTACTGCCCAGACAACTCAAGCTAGAGCGTGACCCCTCCCTACTATTCCACCCTTTCTAACAACTGGGGGCCAGCTGAGACAGTGGAGTGGCCAGGAGTCCCAACTGAAAAAAACATATGCCCAAAACCTAGAGTTGGCAGTACTTGTTCCCATCATTGAAAATGTCACTAGTTGGAGTATAAATAAATATAGGCATACCCCAATGCGTTCAAGGGCTCAAAGGAGAAGTTAGCACCATGCAGAACTGAAAGGGCCCTTGTCCTCCTTGCACAGGGGGAGAAGGGGAAGCTCGGGAGACGGGGTTACTAGTTCGCGGCTAAGATGCAGGTTTCCTCGCCCCCAGTCCAGCCACCTGTATCCTATGTTAATGGTTCGCAAATGATGCCTGTCAGCACATACAGTTTACTTTCCACATTGCAGCCATAAGGACCCCTTTTAAAGACACAAGACAGATCATGTCACTTAAAATCCTCAGGTGACTTTCTCACTCAGGGGGAGCCTAAAGTCCTCAGCAAGGCTTCCAAGTGGGCATGATCTGGCCCCACTACCTCTTTGGCTTAGATTCCCATCACACTGCCGCCCACACCTTTCTTGCTCCTCTGGGAACACTCCGCACTCTCCCGCCAGAGGCACTCGAAGTCTCCCAGTCTCTGTGTTTGCTGCTCCCTCGGGAATTCTCACCCCAAAACATCTGCATACCTTCTCCTATTTCCCTCAAGTCTCTTATTCAACTGCCTCTCTCCAGAAGACCTTCCCTGACCACCCTAAACTAGCAGTCCCACTCCTCCCCTCCCACCACCTCTATCTCCCTACCCTGCTCTATTTCATAGCCCCTGAAATGGTGTATGTATTTGTTTATAGCTGTTCCCTCAACTGGTATGTAAGCTCAATTGATTGCAGGAAACATCTTCTGTTCACTGCTGAATCCTCAGCACCTTGAACAGTGTCTGGCACATAGTAGGTGCTCAATGGATATTTGTCGAATGAATGAATGAATGAAAGTTGTTATCTGTGAGGCTTCAGCAAACAGATCATTTCCATATTGAGTTTCGTGTTAGTGTTCTTTGAGTGTTGGTGAGGTGAGAAGAAACCAACACTCTTATATACACCGTTGGCAAGAATAGATTAGTAGACCTTTCCAGAAGCTATTTGGCAAAAGCTAGTGCATTTTAAAAAACACCAACATACTTTTGGATCCAGAAATCCCACAACTCGGAATGTTCCCTATTGGAAGTACTCATAAAAATTCATCATGATGTGCAAGAAGCTTGCAACAGCATATTGCATAACAGCAAAAATTGTAGACAACTAAAGTGTCCAGTAGGAGATTGGTTAAAGAAATTCTTGTACAGCCATACAGTGGAATAATATGCCATCACTTTAAGATGTATTGGATCTATGAGTTCTCATATAGAAGATTCTTTTACTTGACATGCAAGTTAAAAATCCTAAGATGAAAAATGACATTCATAGTATGATAGCTTTTGTGTAAAAATTTTTAGATAAGATATAAAAATGCAGCTTATGTGCATCAAATATATTTAGATAGAATCATAGAAATTCGTTAATAGTGATTTACATTGGGGAGAGGGGAGGAGGGTGGGAAGGAAAGCTTTCACTTTTCATTTTGTATATTCTTATACTGTTTAGATTATCTGGCCAAGAATAGTCTCATTCTTGTACAATTTTTAAATGTCAACAGAAGTTACTTGAGTGGTAAGATTATGGGCCATTTTTCTGTTGTTTTCTTATACTTCTCTGTTCTTAAGAAAGTAACAACTAATAGTCACTATTTTAAAAGTAAAATAAAAGCAGAGGGCTCAACTGGACCTGCTAATCATCTCAAACCACCAGGTTTAACTGTGACAGCTAATATTTTCTGAGTGTCACAAAAACCAACGTCGTCTGAACAAATGAATGTATCTCTGAGATTAATACTTGTTTTAAAACTAATCGCAGACTCCTTCACAAACGAATTGTTCTGTTGTGAACTAGGCTTGTGTTAAATGTAATTTCAAGACACAGAGAGCTGTTACTTTAAAAATCAGAAAAAGACAAGGCATTTCCTACTTCAGTGTGACTTTTTCAAAGTGCTTTCACATGCATTATCTCACTTAATTTTCACAACAAGCCTGTGACGTGAGTTGATCTTGATTGGTTTTTTTTTTTAATCCTTACTTTACAGCTGAGAAAAGCAAGACACTGGAAAGGCCCCACAGCTGCAACGGAGAAAAACAGACCCAGAGAAGCAGCAACTCAATCAGCTGCAGCGCCGTCGCCGTGTAAACTGAATCCGCACCTTCAAACGTTCTGTTCCAAGTCTGCTGGATGATCTTCCCTCCATCTTTCTTGCTGTAACCAGCTCTGAGTACTTCATGTAGAGCCAGGACGTAGAGGAGGATGGCATCGTGAAATCCTTCAACAAACATGTTCACCTATAAAGGAAACCCCAGATGGGTGAGCACAAATGCCACGTGAGTCACGTTCAGGAATGACGCAAGCAATCAAAAAGGCTAACAAGTTAGATCTGAGGTCTGTGAGCCATGGCAGAGGTGGGCAGAAGGGTTTCTAACAAGAATCAGGTCGTGGTTTTCCTGGCACCGGCCTAGTGGGGAAAGCCCTTCCCCAGTTTGGGACTTTGGAGAGCAGCCAAGGTATTACAGAAGTCAAGAAAACTGTTGTCTGTTGCCCAGGTCTGGTATTCCAGGTGCATCCACCTTTGTAGACAGGCCCTTCTGCACAGGTGCCCTCCTTCCCTGCATCTCCCCTCTACCGCTAGCCCGCAGAGTCCAGCCTCCCTGGTGAGGTCTTCCCCGCCCTCAACAGCCCCATGAGCTCTCCGCGCTCTGAATGTGGAGCACGACTAACATGGAGGGACCCTAACAGCAGGGATCTGTTCACCACAGTCAGCCATGGTTGGATGCCTGCAGGAGTGCTGGTGCCAAGGCTGCAAAGAGGAGGGGACACTGAGACTGCTGCCCGTCCAGCATTTGTGTCCTCTCTTCTACTAGCAATGACATCTCAGTCTCTCCTTATAGTTTTTGTTCAGAGCGGTTTGAACACAGCTGACCACTCCCTACCCGCACTCCCTGCCCAGATCCAAGGACAGGAAGAGAACACAGGCTTGGACTGGTGGTATATCCAAGCTGAGTCGTGGCTGAAGCATAGCCCTTGCCCTCAAGACACTTACAGTTTGATAAACACAAATAAACGCTGGCCATGTGAACTCAGGGAAGTCACTTTGTCTCTTTGAGCTTTGTTGCTTTCATCGTATATTGACCAGGAGACTAGTACCTGCTTCGAGAGGTAGCAAGAATTATATGATATAAGCAGCATAAAGTGCTTAGTATTATGATGTCCAGAGCATAGCAAGTTTTCAGTAAATACAAGCCAATACTGTCATGACTACCTGATGGGCTCTAAAGTGTTAAAGTCCCTGCTGTGTCTGTGGTCTGTTCAGGATATGGTATGAACAAAAAAAAGGGAATGGCCAGTATTATGGGCTGGGAGGGGCGGGCAAGAGAGGCTTAACAGCAGTGGCAAAAGTCGAACTGAGTTTTGAAAATGAGATGTTTCGCAGGGTGGGAGGTTGAGGGAAATAGTTCAGGAAAAGAGGGGCGGGCAAAGGCAGGCACAGTCATGGCATACCCTGACCGGCTGGTGTATTTTAGGAACTGCAAATGTCATACTAGGCTGGGGGCAGGAGGGACACCATCGTGTCGAGAGACAGGGACAGAGAGGTAAGGAGAGTCAGCGCACCGAGGCCCTGGAGGCCACAATGAGGAACTCGGACTGTCTTCAGCGGGCATTTAATCACGTTAGTTTAGTTTGCCTCTTTAGCTGGAGTATAAGCGCCCTTTGGTAAGTTCTAATACCACATTTAAACCCATTATAACATTCATCAGACACGAAGTGAGCAGATACAATGTCGAAACACTGAAAGGCTTACAAACTCTGTATAAAAAGCACAAAATACCCAAGCCTTCTTATTTCAGGCAAAAGTGTCAATGATGGAACGCCGAGGAGGAAGAATGAATGGGGCATTCTGCAGACGACCACCATGAGGCCCGCGCCATCTCTGAAAAGAAACCCCGTGGGAAGAGACCTTCCTCATCATCCGGTTCAGATGCGCGAACATTCACGAAAGGCACAGCTCGGCATCCGCTCTGCTTGGCCTGTCCCGCCCCTCAGGATAGGGAATCCTGTTTGCAGCACAGAAGCAAATACTTCAGGTTTGCCAAAGCTTCGTGCTGAGAAGCAGTTTTAAATGGTTCAAAAGCCTGGGCCCTCTTCCAGCTCTGCCACTTCCCAGCCGTGTTTCTGGTTTCCTCGTCCGGAAAATGAGGAAAATAATAGCACCTGTCTAACAGGAATGCTATTAGGTTAAATTAATAAATGTAAAAGACTTCATTTGAACAGTGTCTGACACAGTCAGCACTCACCATTAGCTTTGTTGTGACTGTCTAGCACACTGACTGCCACACTAGACCAAAAAAATGTTTTTTCCTTGGGGCCAAGGTGTTTTATTATGAAAATAGAATAAAAACTTCAAAAACAAAACGATCCTTTCTAATTTAATGAAAATTTTGTTGTTTTTATTGTTTTCTGTGTGTGAGTTACATGCAACTTGAAATATAATTCTCTTGGTTCCCAAGGTGAAGAGACGTGTGAGTTATATACGCTTCACGAGGCCCTGGGCTCCAGACCAGCATGAGTTAAATACAACTCACACGGCAGTTAATGTGTTAGAGATGGCATGGTAAACTATGAACCTAGGGTTCCGCTTAGCTTTCAATTCCTAATGGCAGTGTTCAGAAAATAAGTGGTTTCCTCACAGATAGCACCTCTTATTGACCCATTTTATCCTTAGGGGGAGCGAAGGCTCCCATCAGGCTTTGGTACCCCAGACTGTGCTCTTCCACAAAGCCATGCCCTTAATTCTGCGCAAGTGTGACAGGTGCAGCCGGAGTGGTCATCCTGCTGACGCTTTGGGAGAGGTGGAGGGCAGGACAGGATGTGTTCACAGGGGAGCTATGAGTTAGCTGTCCGGACCCACTCTCAGTCCTAGCCCTGCCATGTCACTTAATCTCGTTAATCCTCAATTTCCTCATCTATTAAGTGGGGGTTTAGTACCAACTCACCTCACAGAACTCTTCTGAGGACTAAGTGAACTAGTGCTTGTAAAACACCTAAAACAGTTCCTGGGACCCTGGAGACAACTGCTAGATGCTGGAGCTTGTTCTTAGCTGTCAAGCTTAAGTCCCAGCGTGATTATTTTCTTAGGCAAAGAAGAATGATGTAGAAACAACATCTACTAGTCAAAGATAATTCTCTGCTCATTTGGCTACGCCAGTTAGATTTTCCAAAGGAATATGAAATTTTCACTTACGCCATGAAGTCATCATGGCTTGAGAAAGTATGCATGCTGATGAATTTTAATAAGTGGACTTCATCTATGTAATTTCATTCTCGGATCACAATAAAAACAAATATTTTTTTCATAAGGTCTATCTTCTCTTTGATAACTCTATAGAAACCACCCTCCTACAGAGGGAAGTCACAGAAGCACAGAGTCATGGACTAGAGGAGATCGCAGATGCCTTAAGAAGGCTGTGATCTGATCCCCTCCTCACTTCGACGACCCAAAGAGCATCACTCTCCTCCATCTTCCCACATTCTGTACTTGAGTGTTGCACCCTGTAAACTCTTTGTTCCTGGGGTGCTTCAGACGGCCCCTGCTTAAGTTATGAAGTGCCAGCTGCTGGGCATCACCCATCCATCCCTGTCCTCCTCCTCTGTCCCCTTCTCATACGGACACTGGCCACCCAAACACTGGCCATGTGCCCCAGCGCCCCCCCATCTGGCCCTTCCCTTTTCTTCCTTCTTGATATGTCCTCTGAGCCACCCCCCTCTACAATCTAAGATGGGAAGAAAAATTATCTGGTGGTGAACTATGAACTTGGATTACTTTTGTCCTGACAGCTCTGGTGGTAGAAGGGAATAGACAGGCTCTGAGCACACTCTCAGGTTTGAAAGCGCATATTATCTTGATTTGCAAATGGATTGCAAAATTCACCTTCTTTTCTCTGCAAGTGACTGAGTGTCTCCCTCTCCTGCCAAAATCAGCAGGAGAGCTGCTGACCCCGCCTGCTGCGGGGGAGGTTTCATAACACCTACCTCATAGGACCTCGAGCCAGAAGCAAAACCCTAGAGACCATCTTTTCTCGAGGAGAACATTCTCACATCTACACGTGTTTTTTAATGGAAGGAAAGCCCGTTAGCACATTGTAGACACTGAAAATTAGAAGTGCAAATTAAGAAAAAAAAAAATGAGGAAGGAAAAAAACCCAGAGTATGAAGTTGCCTCAGGAACACTTTCTACTGAACCTCCAGGCTGAAAGAAACAAGGTCATCTGGTGTGTCCCCCTGATTTCCAGGTCCTGACTGACACAGATCATGCTGTTGTGACCTATGACAGAAAATGGGATTCCCCCACTGAGCAACCTGTTCTAGTATTGAGCGTTGAGTATAGATTTCTTGCCAGAAATCTCTTTCTACCGTCATTAACCATAAGCCTTAATTAAATTCCTAAATCCAGCCATTCCCCTGCTACATGCTGAACAAATTGACTCAAGAGAACACTACAGTTTATAATCTCCACCAAACAGCACTGCAGCTCCGTACAAACTGTAGGCAAGCTCTACGAACGCAAGTTGTGCAGTGGGCCACCATGAAGGCCAAGCTCCATTATTTGTGTGATGTATCAAATAAAGGGTCTGGAACTCAAACGAGATGAAAAGCATTCACCATTTTCCACTCACTCTGGGAGGTTTGCCAGAACAAGGTAGCATGATAAGAGAGCATTAACTCTCTTATCATTTCATCTCAATTCTCTCTGTAGCTGGCCAGCAGCAGCTATGCCAAATGGAAGAACACCATTTTTGCACTGGCCTTCCTCTCTTATAGCACTTGCCAGCTACATCTATTTCTTAGAGGCTTTTTCTAAGCCTCTAGCATGGGGAGAGCTGAATAGAAATCTTGTTATTTTTTATTTTTTTAACTGAGCATAAAGAGTTGCTGCTCATGGTGGGGCTCCTGTCTGTGACAGGGAGTCACCTCTCTCTGTCTCACTTCCCTCTGGGGAGGCAAAGTCATATTTAGATGCATTCCTCAGTGCTTGTGTTCCAAACAAGTAGGCGAGGAATGCTGCAGGCCTCAGCTGTTCTGTAAAGTGAGAGTGATCTAGCTCGTGGCGATGCCTGGATATCTGAGAAAGCCTGTGACGCTCACAGACCGAGGCTGCTGGACGAGAGCGACCGAGGCTCGATGCAAGCCTGGGCCATGCCGGGGTTTTGCTCGTGTGTTGACGTGTACTCAAGGGTAGTGCACAGGGCTTCCATCTTCCTTACCACAAGCCAATGATTCCCAGTGCAGA